ACTTGACATGGAACCAATAGCTGAAAAAGTAAAAGATGATGAAAGGGGATAAAAAGTGAAGAGGAAGACAATCTTGGTCCATTTTTCACAGCTGTTAAATTGGTTGTAAACGAGAGAGAGAGAGAGAGAGAGACAGAGTGTGTGTCTGGGGCTAAAAAATGGTCAAAAAAGTTGGTTGTGGCCCACTTGCGGTTTTGAAACTTTGTTTTGTGATTAACAGCTCTGAGTTTCCTGTCATGTGTTAAACGCTCCCTAATTTATAAAGTAGTCACGCTTCTTGTTCTTGAGACTTGTCCCATGTACGAGAATGATTTTATTCCTTTTTATTTTCAACTTTACGCAGGCTGAGACCAACTTTCGGACGAGATGGTCTCGTCCTCGAGTATCTTTTAATGATTATTTTGTTTAATGATACTTCTCTATTTAATTGGAGATGATTTAAGTTAAATTTCTTATACGACAATTGTTAAATTGGAAAAAATATTATCAAATTTAATAGCTACCCTTGAGTTAAAATGTTAGTAAGTGTCTGATCAAATTTAACCAAACTATCTATTTTACGCATGATTTATGTCTTGTATAAATTTAACCGATAATATTAAATGACAGTTCAACGCTTTCAAAAAATTGTCACAAGGGAGAAAACATGACAGCTCACCTTGTCTCAATATATCGTGGGAAGCTCAAAATAGTAAAATAAACAAAACCAGAGGCTACAGACAAGGGAAAGAAATATCCGTAAATAAAAAATGATGATACAGACAAGGGGTACGCATCTACGCACTCGGTTCAAGTTAGCACCCCCACCCACTTTACAAAAGCCAATTTCGTGGAAGTAGCCCTTCCCCTCTCGATCCCTTCCCATAAAAGTACTCAGAAGTGCATGCACCTCTTTCCCTAAATATATAATCCCCAAACACACAACCTTTCTCTCATTCATTTCAGTCCTCCCCTCACCCCCCCCCCCCTTCCTAGGAATTTTCACAAACACCTCTCGGGCACTCACTCCTCACTCTCCTCGAACAAACACCAACACTGTATTTCCATGGAAGCATTGAATATTTGCTCGTCTTCTGCTTCGTCTTCCGACACGTCCTCGTCGGAGTCTTCTCTTCCGAGAAATCCCAATAAGCCCGAACGAATCAAGGGCCCGTGGAGCGCTGAGGAGGACCGGGTCTTGACCCGGCTCGTCGAGCGCTACGGGCCTAGAAACTGGTCATTGATAAGCCGGTATATAAAGGGACGGTCCGGGAAGTCGTGCAGGCTAAGGTGGTGCAACCAGCTGAGCCCGAGCGTCCAGCATCGATCCTTTTCGCAGGCCGAGGACGAGACCATCTTGGCCGCACAGGCCCGGTTCGGAAACAGATGGGCCACCATTGCGCGCCTGCTTCCGGGTCGGACCGACAACGCGGTGAAAAATCACTGGAACTCCACGTTGAAGCGGAGGGTCAGGGGAGATCAACTAACGGAGGGTGGCAGTTTTCTTGGCGCCGGCGGCAATGTGGGTAGCAATGAGGGGATGAGCACGAGTTCGGTTTCCGGATCTTTGGTTAATGGGTCGATGGAGTTTGACCCGTTGACGGAGTTGACTTTGGCACCGCCGGGGATTGGTAGCGGAAGCGGCGGGGCGATGGTGGCGGAGCAGCGGAGGAATAATGAGAGTGTGCCGGCGGGGTTTTGGGACGCGATGAGGGATGTGATTGCCAGGGAGGTTAGAGATTACGTGACGACAACATTTTCAGAGCCTTCGGGGCTTCTTTGATAAAATTAATGATGTTTTGATTTAATTTCGGATTATGTTTTTGTTAATATGTTGGCTTCCATTAATTCTTAGAGGCTAAAAATTGTAAGATTGTTCGAATGAATGTAAACTAAAAAAAATATATTTAATTCTTGTTTAAAAAAAAAAATTATGAAAGTCTAGTTTTGTTAAAACTGGTGTTCCGGCCTGTCATCAACGAACAAGTGGAAACCGAGTAGAATAGACACAAAAGTTGTGGGGAAATATTTAGTTGTGACGGAAACAAGGATGATACACTATGTATTTTTATGCAAGTAGTGAAAAATTTTAATTTTTAAGTTATTAATCTTTTAACACACATAACTCATCATTTATATAAGAACACGTGGTGTATCATCTCGTGTAACGGTTAGCAATGGCGGAGCCAGAAAATATTTTATGGGTGGGCTAGCTAAAAAAATTACCCTAAAATCAAATTTTTTGGTTTTTGCTAGACACGTATTCTATGCAAAAATTTAAGTTTAACTTTTGTATTTATATACTTAAAATTTGCCTGGCAGGAACTCAATAAGCTTCGCAATTGCAAACTAACAAAATTACAATGAATCATCAAATTTCACATATATTTAGATTTAAACACAAGAAGGAGATAGAAAACTTGATATCTCAATTACAATCACACAACTAGATCAAAGCAAAACACTGAAAATAGAAGTAAAGACAATATTAAAAAATTGGTTGAAACTAATATAAACCCCACTATATCAAAGCATAATAATCTTGAACAAAATGACATCACAATTTTCATGGTAATTTTTATATTTTTAATTGTGCTAAATACTCACTGGGCTAGTTTCATTAAAAATAATTCTTCTTACACATTTTTTTTGTCTATTATATCTACACACTAAAGTATATATACATATTGCTACAAATCCTCCCTGGGCTACAGCCCACCGTAGCCCTTAGTGTGGCTACGCCATTGACGATTACACTGAAAAATCTCTCAAAATCAAGATGTTACGTGCTACAATTAATTAGTTCGAGATAGATGAAACTTTAATGTAGTAACAGAAATAATATTGCATATGTACTCATACGTAATTTGAAAAATAAAAAATATTATTATTTTGATGCCTATTTTTTTGTTTTGTCCAAATATAAAATTATTTTCACTGTTTAATGACATGCATGTGCTTTTTTAAGTCTAAGATTGTTTGCAAAATAACGTATATCACATATAATATAGCTAGATATCAAAAACGGGAAAGTAGATTTCACGATATTTTGTTTCGTCATATTTATTAGAACGTTAATTTGACGGATGTGCTTGTTTATGCGCATCAGTTTTCTTTTTCTAGTGTGATGGAATCTTCAAATTATCGCGATACCAACTAGTTTTGGGATTTAGAAAATTTTAGGTGCTTGATGGACATTTTGTTGTAATTTGATTTTTTTTTTTTTTTTAAGAAGTAGGAAACTTTTTTGATCAAATCGTTCAGACAAATTTGCATGTCATACATGTTCATATGCCAATTATTTTTTTTGAAAATTGAGATTATCTGTCATAAAAACACGTACGACTTAAAAATATCGTGTACACGGTTGAATTAACCATGTCGTTTATGTTGGTATGGCAGATTTTCCGTAACTAATTTAGTATAATATAGTATAACACTTTTAGCTAATGAAATTCCAGCTGGTGAGAGAATATGATTAGCAGCATATAGCATGTTGTGTACATCCATTGAAACACTGAACAACATTTGGGATAAGAATGTATTATTTAATTTATTATCGAATATCAACAAACGCTAACGACATAATTTATTTAATCTAAATAAGATTAATAAACTGGTCAACGCTATTGTTGACCAACTTCAGAGTACTTCAATATTGATGGAAAATTAGTTAACTTACACATCATGGAATAATAAGCATATTATTTGTTACACCTAATTAAGAAAGAAATTGGGTAAGATATTTACATAAATTTGTGTCCATTATCTTCAATCATACATGAGTGGGGAAAATTGGTTGAATCAGTTATCTAATTAGGCAAGCATTTCAAGTTAGCAAGAAAACCTTAGGAAAACTAGGTTTTTCAGACAACGAGTATAAAGTCTCGCCTCCGACTATGGACACACCCCTAGGAAGCCCTAAAGCTAGTGTACCCTCAAAAGGAAAGAAGGCCAAAATCTGAAAAAAAAAAAATGTTATTCTTACTATGTAATCGTACTATCTTTCTAATAGAGATGATACTCATATATATAGATATATCCTACCTGTATTAGAGATATAATACAAATTGATAGTAAGTTTTGACGGCTAAAATCAACTCCACAACTTGCCAACCGTTAAATCAATACAAATGACTTGAAAGCCAAAGGTTTTCTTCAAGAGTTTAGGTATTTACTATTTAGAATCAAGCAGAATATGTTTCATGTTTCCGAATAAAAACAGATTCAAAGTCTTTGAAAACAATTTAAACCCACCGCCGACTTGTAATATATATTTGAAAACTAAGTACGCGAGGACTTTTTCACCATCTTTTCTTCCACTGGAGGAAAAGCTAACAAAGCATACGTATGGTCGAATAGCGGGACCTTGTTTTGGCGCGGTTGGAAGCAAAACTGTCACTTTGTGTTCCCCACTTCTGCTTCTACAGAAGCACTTTTGGATTTGTGTGATCGATTCACGCATGCATGGTCTGCACGTTTTAAATGCTCATGCCAACTTCGTAGAAAAGTTTTTATGGTTGTGAATTGAGTCATGCAAGTAATAGACATTATTGGTCATAGTTTCTGGACTGTTAAAGGCCCATAGGCCATGGCCAATTTTTGTAGGAGACAGATATTCTTGGATATAAACTACAGTGTGAAGTAGCCCGTCACAATGCATGAGAGAGAGTGTCGGTTGCAGTTACTGCTATAAATTGGTTCTAGTTCGATTTAGTACCAGGTATGGCTTGTCATTGGCTCGTCGAAATTTAACTCACGATAGAAACAAACCAAATCTAGTTTGGCGCAGCAAGTCAGGCTTGAACATTAGTATATTTGAGTAGGAACTATATTATATGAGGCAACGGATCACAGTGCAAACGAGATGTAGACCGGATACTAGGTACTAAATCCCTACCTAAGGCTTTCATGTTTTAGCACAAATTTAACTTGTATGAATATGAATTAACCATTCAGATAAGAATTAATTATGATAAATGGTTCAGATTAATCATTCGGATAAGAATCAACCTGATTAATGGTTCAGATTTAAACTGACAAAATCATCTTTATTGTGTATATGACTCTATGAAAATCAAGAAACAAGTACAAATTATTCAGACACGATTCCCTCTACAAGTATCATGGGGAAATTATTATTTGACTCGAAACCCTCCAGAATAATTGAAGTACATAATCAATCTGGTGTGCGTGCGTGTGTATTTTTGTACACCGTCTCGTCTTCCCGGACCTTTTTATTTGTGTGTTTTCAAACTCTGCGATTAATTATTCCAACGTGGCAGTGGGATGGCAAACAGCTTCATCAGCCCATCCTTGCAGTTCTTGCCATCTTTTTCACCACTGGCAAAGTAATAAGGACTCCACTGAGTCAGCTCCACCTTGAAGCCGTCGCCACCTCCCTGCATCTGACTCGCCAGCAGCTTGGCGTTGCTAAAGTCGCAAGTTATGTAGCTCCATAGGTTCGGCAGTTGGTATACGCTGTAGCCGGAGTTCGCCTCACTCGGTGGATCGTACTTGAAAACTGCAAAAGTTAAACCAAGAACTTATACACTACACACACATAAATAGTTGACGTATGCATGCATGGAATAATCGATCTACGGAATAATGGACATCTGTATGTCCATTTTTTATTAAAGAACTAACTGCCGATGTTGCCATTGATAGTGCGTTGATATCGTAGTCACATACACATGTTATCGTACAATATAAAAGCATGTCTATTAAAATTCAAGAAGGGATGTCATGCACATAGAATTTTGATGTTAAATGATACTAACCTAGTTGGTCATTTATGTAAAAGGGGTTGTTTTGGAGCGCCCAGTCAGTGTAGTTGTAGCCGAAACGCCAGCCTTCAGACCCACCAACAACCACGGTTCTGGCCTCAGTCACTGCCAAGAGAGAGGCAGCAGCTAGGAGGAGGATGAACCCTTGCGCATTAGAACTGAAAGCCATTGCTCCTCTAGTAATGTCCTTATAAAAATATAGAAACTTGATTGTGTGAGAAGGCGATGAGAAAACGTGAGAGGGTTATGGGGTTTATATAGGAAATCGAAAGTGATTAGATTTGCCTCTGTCTCTTTGGTTTCAACATTTTTCACATTTTCAGATTCCAGAAGCTGAATTTCAAACCCTATTTTCTCATTTGGTAATTACTGAATTGCCAACTTTCAGATTACATCATAACCTTACTCGTTAGTTGATTGTGTGACAGCATGACCAGAAGACTGCAGGGGTAAAAGAGTAAAAATGAATGGTTGACAAGTGATTCTGGTCATCGTAAATTTGGTAATCATCCATTAAGTACAAGAATGTCATGCAATGGCTATGATTAGTGGCGCATTAACAGTTTAAGAGGTCAGCTAAGGCAACGGAGGGTAGGTGTGGGTTCGTTTACAGACGAGAATTAAACGGTCAAACAACGGCATGTGGAAACTTGGGAATTTTTACAATCTTAATATGATCAAGGTGTCTGTTTGGTTAATGAGAAAATTTGGATGAAGGGAAGGAATAATAAGTTTTGAACATTTCTCTGGAAGATTTTTACTCTCCTGCACGTATGTACTGCGCGCATGCCCCAATTACAACAAACATCAGCCCTCCATTTTTTATAGATTAAAAACCGGTGGATGTGATGAGTTGATACGCACAACACGCAGCCATGTGCAGGGGGCAATGCACAGGGTAGAAAAGCTGTTCTCTGGAAACCCTATGATGAATGACAATTGGGCTTGCTAAAAAGTGCACCCTTTTCTGGGTCTGAACAGTTTTCTTAAAAGCCTACTTGTGATTAACGTATTCTTACCCCACAAATATACAAATAGCGGGAATTGTTTATTGCGGATTTGCTCCACCCTATGCACATTACTTCAATCCTCTTCCTAGCTGTTTAGATTAGTTTAAAGTATAATAATATCGACCGTGTATATAACTGGAAACAGAAACAGTAATTTCTTTGCAGATACGTGGCAAATCCTGTAGAACTGGTTCGGCTTACTGTTTTAACGTACTTTTACCTGCAGCTCAATTGAAAGCAAAAATCAAATTTAACACAACTAAAAATCTGGAGATTCAACATTACTCATCTGGAAGTTGTAAACTACCGCCAGCTAAGGGCATTAAAGCAAGTGTGGACCCCAAGTATTCTTGAATGTGACTTGGATGAGTTATATGCTTGCAGAATCAACAAAATTATTCCCTTTTCTGGGTTGAAAACGATGCGTTCTAGGCCTTGTTAAGCTTGTTATAGCATGTGGATTTTTGAATTTTTAGCCTTTTCCACCTATTCCCCCAATTCAGTCACCAATTTCTACCAGCTGCTGAAGTTATTGTGCTCAGTAGACCACATTGACTACTTTTCCCTTGCAATTACTTTTTCTGTTGAATGGTTTAATGTGATCGTAAAGATCATGTGACTCCGGTGATCGATCAAATGAAAAATATGGCAATTGCTTAAGGAAAAAACTTGAATCGATACGTTACAGACAAATCACAGTTTGATTCATTTCATCCTTCCAAAATCATTGACACCAACATCACAGAATGTATGGCTTCCCCGCTCTAATAATGTACCCAGCAACAGAGAACAGATGAAGATCGAAAATAAAGAATAAACAAACAAAAAAAAAAAAATAGGAAACTTGTTGGGTAGGTACCAATACCAAATCCAAAACCCAATAGCCAGAAATCAAACGTTCGCAGTTTGTGGAGGTTGAAGCTCAGATTCTTGCTGGGTTTGTGCTGGGTTTGCAGTTGCAGATGAAGTAGCAGACACATTAGGCCTTGGAATCTGAGTGTTGATTCTTCCATCAAGGCAGGATGCACATTTCGCTTCTGCCCAGCTCCCCAAATCGTAATGTCCGTACCCCAAAATACTCCTTCCAGAGCAGACCCTTCCAATCACAGCAGCAACCAGACCCAAAAGTAGCACCACAATAAGAACACCAACAACTGCTCCAACGGAGCCATGGGGTGAGTGAGAAGTGTTGGTGCTTTGCTGCAGCACAAAGTCTGGTGGAGATTGCTGGGTCTGATCAAATGGCCTTGACATTTTTTGGGCTGACCCGGAAGAGGGAAATGCTGGGTTTTCTGCTCCTTGTGCCTTGAAATGCTGTCCAAATGCTGCAAAAGTTTAAAGCTTTTTTGTGAGTTGCTCAAGAAATCAGAATAGGGTTTAGGCTTTAGGGTTTTTGTGGCCTATTGTGAGCAATGCATTATTTGCTTTTTGGAACTTGATTCTTGGATTTAGGCTTTAGGGATTTATTCACATGTTTGGAAGAAAAGGCCTGATCTAAAGTTTATTCTCATCAATTGATTTTTTATTTTACGGCTTTTACCCCTTTTGTGACAAGTAAATTTTCGGTAAGGTAGTACGACTAGAACAATTTTCGTAGCTAGTGAAAGAAATCAATGTAACAGTAATACCCAAGATTATATATTTATGAGATTCTCATAGATGACGTCGTCTAAATGCCCTACGCAAGTTCTCTAGAGGTGAAGGAAAGTTCGATGCGACTGTCTTAAATGAGATGGTGGAATATTTCCAAAATTTGAACTTAAAATCTTTTATTTATAAGTACAAAAAAATATTTCACTAGCTCGTAATACAATCATTCACTTAAGTTATATTTAAATTGGAGGAACCCAAGGGTGAGTAAAGGACAAAAGCAAAGTAAAAAGTAACTGGAATAGTTGGAATCTTGGAAGCGTATAATCACTTTCCAAGAGAAGCACTTTTCGGAAAAACGTCATCGAGCTATGTCAGTTCCCTTCTGTCACCGTGTGAAGAAATCGTGCTAACAAATACCACCGCCAATTCTCCGAGTCACACATGATTCATGAACATGTAATATGGGATGGGGATTGAGCCTGACAAAATTGGGCTTGTAATTGGGCTTCGATTGTTTTACACCTTTTGATTTTTGTTACTTACGCAAAGGTTTCTTTGGGCTTGGGCCCCTTGTGAGAATAAAGGGTTGACCCTGCAACAAGTTATCTCATCGATATTAAAGTTCGAATTTCTGTTATTTTGTAGTTTAAATAAATTTAATCTAGAATATCGCTTGTTAATAAACTGAACAACAATATTATATCTTATAAGAAATGTTAAAGAGACTCTTTCATTCAAAGTGAAACTCTTTGTCATTTTACAATTTAATGTCAATTTCTATACCAACATTATAAATCGATGTAGCAAAAATGTGAGGAGATAGAAAAGCTATAAAGAGCCATACTTCTAAAAACATGTCTCGTTAAAAAAAAAAAAAAAAGAAAAAAAAAAAGAAGAGAATATCCTGAGCATTTCTTATCTCTTCTCAGTTAAACCGCCTTCTAGATGCCATGTGCAAGTGTATGGATAAGATTGTCGGGCCTCGGACTAGTGCTGACGTAAGCATGGTGACGCCACTGCCTATGATTGGGTTCCACGGTGTGCAGGACCATGCTATTATTTTGAGCCAATCCTAAATGATTGAACGAATCACATCGCATTGTCCAGATAACCAGTTTAAAACTGGTTTTATACACGGATTAAGTTACCCTATTTTCAAGTAATTAGCTTGATCATAACTTTAGTTGTGCATCATACTAAGTTAATATCGAACTTACCATTTATGATAGTTTATCAAAATCTTCCACTTGCAAATTTGAAGAAAAAATATTGTTAAATCGTAATAAAACGTGGTAATCGGATTCTTGAATTTGTGTAGGTGGAATTTTGTGTGGGGCTGATGAGTAATCCACAGTAAGACTATGGGGATGCCCACTTCATAATTTAACCTACATGATCACAACAGGACAAGAAATGGATGAATAATGTTGAAGCTTAAACAGCTGGCCCGAGGATAAATAGCACCTTACAAAAATTCTTGTGTTGTGTTTGTTGGTTGGGGATTGGCTAATTTAATCCAAGGCCAAGCAGAAAGAGTGAAGATGAGCGAACCCAACGGCGGAGGAAGACCCGGCCAGGCCCCGCCAAACGGCGGTGGGGGTAGAGCACCAGTGCCACCTAGAGGAGCCGTAATCAAGCAGATTTTGGCCGACTTAGTTAATCGCCCGTAACCATTTGATCTACATACTCGTCGTCATAAAGTTAAGTACGATGTGTACCCATACGTTTATATGTATATTTTTATGAAGCCTATCTAGTTGTGAAATAACCACAGGAAATCCCCCGTTCGGTGGGGGGAAGTGTAATTAGGGTTGCAAGTTGTATGGATCTATTTGCCAAATCTTGTTTGGTGATGATACTAGTTAATGTTAGTATTGTTCACGATGAGTTGTTTCTTATGGGAGTCAGATGATCAGTTGCAACTTGCAAATGGAGTTTGTTCTTTTGGACAATCAAGTCGGTTAATTGCTTGCTAATGACAATTTTCTTGACTGTGTTCAATTTTTTGCGAATTTTATTCAAGTGTACGGAGCATTCAAATTTAGAATTTCTTCCCGCACCCGGAAGAGAAATCCAACTAAATCACGAATTTTAGTTGAATGCGGTTGAATCGTTGATTATCAAGTAACGATGGTGTGGATTTGCGAAAAATGAAATTTGCCTAAATGGATAACCATTGAAGGTTGAGGGTGTAAATGAGCCGAGCCACGTAGAATACAAGGCTTTAGAGCTTGTCTCAACTTGGCTTGAATAAAATTTTCAAACTCGAGCTTAGCTTGGTTTGGCTTGTTTCTGGACGAAGCTTGAGCTTATGGTTGTTTACTCGGCTGAACTCGTTTTAAGAAAGAGTTTAAATTTGAGATCGGCGTGACTTAGTGAACATTATATTAAGAGAAATATATATTCATAAAGGATTACTTTTCAATCTAGAATTTAATTCAATTTAAAATATAACTTGGAATTGTATCCAGTGGATTTACTACCCTAATTGAAGTAACAGTGAAGCAATAGAGGCACTGCCTACATAGTGGACCTCAAATGTACCTAAAAGTGCAAATAGGCTTGGGTAAAGCTTAAGCCCCAAATAAATATTGGGTTTA